GACTCATATATCGGTGTTATTTCCTCAAAACAGAATAAACTTGATTGTGGGCTCACATATCTGCTGTGAAAATCTCTCCAGGAACTCTGGGCTGTCTGTGGTGCTTGGCAGAGAAAGTCACAGGAGGGTGCGGAGACACCTCAGCACCGACCCTAACCATCCTGCGTAAGAAAGCCAAACCTAGACACTTATCCACATCAGACAGACACAAACAAACCCTGGACAAAAGGGCTCCAAAGAGCACAAACAGTCTGTCACTCAAGGGGAGATTGACAGGGAGAGAGGCTTTTTTATATCACCCAAACTCCCCCTGAAATTGAGGTGAACACCTTTGTTCAGCAGAGAGATGCGTGTAGTGATCCGGATCAGCTTTGTGACAGTTCTGGAGGTTTCCATAGAAACATGCACGCACCGAACACGGCAGACTTAAACATCTTGAATCGCATCAACAGATGGTTTGTGCAGAGGCTGAAGAATGATGAAGTCTCACAATCTGGCATGCATCATTTCATCTGAGTGAGGCCATATTTTCATCTTTAAAATATCCACAGTGAAGGTTTGATGCCTCCTTTATTTACAGAAATACCATGTATTTGATTGGATGAAAGATAACTGTGTGAGGGTATAATCATAAGGTCCTGGTGGTCCAGCTGTCTCGCAGCATTTGGAAAAACAATCTCATTTGTCATATCAGGAAATATAAATCTGCAGTCATAACACAATCACTCAGGTTTACCCCATCATCAGCTTTGACAGACACATTTAAAATCTCTGCAGTTAGCTCCGATATGGCCAGTATGGTTTTAAATTCATGAATCTTTTTTGTTATTACCTGGTGTTTCTGAAGGTGGAAATGTGGGAACTGGTTCTAGTCTAGACAATAAGAAACTGCAGTTGAAATAAGAGCAACCCCAGCTCTTTGAAGTCCAGCCCACTTCAGCTCCCAATGCAACACAAAGGATGTAACGTTAAAATTGATGCAAAGGATTAGGGCTGGACTGATTTCCATACAATAGGGTAAAAAAAAAAAAAACGAGGCATGAGATGAAAGAACAGACAGAACAAAGACAGCTGCACATAAAGAGGATTTCACAAACGATAACCTTCTATTCCTGCAGGCACTGAGACTCAAAATGGCTGAATAGAAATAACAGAAATCATACAACGATTTCAGGATGGGGCTACAGTTTTACTGCAGTCCCTGGTGCACCTTTGTCTTCTTTTCCTCTCACTATTTCTCCATCCCTCTGTGTGAAATAGATTATTAGATTAGTATGCACTAGATCCCAACAGATCTATTTTCTCACTAACAACTGCAGCACAACCCAAATCCTTCTGGATCACTAATCTAGCCTCCAAATCTATTTCACTTTGGACTCAGACTCGTATTGCTCCTTTAATTCCTCTGTGGTCAATAATGAATTAAGGTAGACCTGCCAACGTTGTAATTGAAATGGCTAAACTGGCAGGTTACTGCTCTGCCACAATCAGATATGATTTCTGACTCATAGAAACTTTTAAAGTTTTGTTTCCTGTCAAACGTTGCTGAGCTGTCTTTTGTACCCAGAGACTGAAAATTAGGCCTCTTTGAGGCTGCAAACAGAAGAAGAAGATAAGCTGTCAGGTGTAAGGCGCATTGCAATGCTGAGTGTGTATGTATACATTATAAATGTTAATATAAATAAACAAGGTGGGTTCACTTGACTTAAACTGTGAAAATGAAAGCTTCCAGTAAATGACGATAACAAGACGTCAATTATTACTGTTTATATTATGGTTTTATATTTGTAAAACTTTCGCAGAGCCTAGAAAAGCATTGCAAGGGAGAGAAAACGATATGCATGTGCAGCAGGTAGCCCAAGCAAAGCAGGAAGTGGAAAACATTTCCTGGTTTATGCACTGAGCAAACAATTATTATTCAAGTTAATGGCCGCCATTTTGGATTCTAGTATCCAGTTCTTATAAAACATCTCTAAAGAATCTCCAAAGTAAAAAAAACATTGAATTACAAAATATCACAGCCATCCATGTGGAAGATAAACCGCTGTTGGCACTAGATGTAAAGTTGGGGGTTACCAGATATTGTATTTATTTATCATCTGCCTGAAGTGGATATCTGCACACAGTTAAAAATAAATTCATCCAATATTTGTTTAGATGTTTTAACTATTTATTTAAAGTCAGAGTCTTCTTTTTACCCTGGGAGAGTAGATCAAATCATGACAAAAGGACACTTTTCTGTGCAGTTTTAAAGACCTACTGTATGATGAGCATGTCTCCCCTGTCATGCCATCATCTGGCCACCATTGTCGCCCCGCTGACTCCTTCGACCTAATGCAGTGCAGCATTCCACTACATCAATTCACAGCTTCCACACACTCTGAAATTTGATTAGTCACCACAGCACAGCAACGGGGACATAAATAATTCATCTGTGCAAATGACAAATGAGGCAATCAATCCTGGGACAGCATTCAAAGAGAAGCTATTCAAATCCCCTCTAAATTCATTTTCTGTCTTTTTGTAGTTGTGGAAATTTGAATGCTGAATTCCTCAGATTATGTTTCCACCCTGATTTCCACAAACTACACCATTTTGTTTCAGAAAACGTTTTCCAATTAAAAGACATAAGTCACTATAGTGCCTTTGATAGTTTTCTCCGACCAGCAGTAAAGTCTCATCACACCCAGCGGCACTAAATGCTGGACATCAGAGCCTGAACTGCACAGGGAACAGCCGGCTCTTTGAAACAGGACATTAAAGAATGAATAGAAGATAAGGAGGGCTGGTCTAATTTCATATTCCATCTGACAGCAGATACACTTTCCATTAATGCAAAACCCTTTTGGATTAGCTGAGCTCCTCTATGTGGGATGAGATCACACTTTACTCTGACCTGTGAGACTCAGAGAACAAAGAAATCTGATGTATAATCTGGCCACAATTATTCTGTCCGTCCATGTTAGCCTGAGTGATGATAGGGAGCCTGACAGCTCAATCACAGAGAAGGCAAATTAGGTACAAAGACAAGCACAAATACATCCAAATCTAGTATCAACTACAATGATTGAATATGAATGACTTCAAAACATATTATGTCTGGTTAACATTAGCTGATAACAAAACCCTCTGAACCTGTATCTATACCAACAAGAAAAAGGCTACATTTATACTGTAAGTGTTTGGTGCTGAAAATGTACAATTAACATATTGTTGAGATACTGAATGAAGTTAAAGATTAAGTGGCAGTTGAGTTATAATTACTGAAAGAGTTTGACACAGCGTTTAAATGGAAGGTCTAAAAGAAGCAGAAATGTCAGCCTAAGTGTGTGAGTGCTGAGTGAAGTGGAAACAAACTTTAAATACAAAGACAAAATCGTCTGTTTCTGCATGCTCTCACAGACGCAGGTCACAGATACAGAAGAGATTTCTGACGCCTTTATCAGGAGGCAACATTCATTCTCTGGGCCTTCCAAAATGATAAAAATGAGGGGCAAACACTGCAACATCAAAATATGACAGCACTAGGGTTCATGAAGGTGAGGTTTTGGAACCAAAAAAAAGTGATCTGTTATGGTCAGAGAAACAGAATACATTTATTTGTATGTATATTTCATTTATAAATATTAAAGATGTTTACAACAGCAACATGTTTACATTGAGCTGTTAAGGAATTTCCATTATTGGGCTACTAGTTATCTCTTCAACAGGCAACTATATCCTTACCTCCAACCATGGAGGTATGACACAATGTTTGTGAACAGCACTCATGTGGTAGAAAACATCAACTCAAGATCAACATTGGAAAAAGCTGCCAAATCCATGAGACTCTGTGGAGCACACACAATATCAAACAACAAACATATTTCTATAGCAGCTGTCAGTCCTGTTGTCAAAGCAACAGGCCCCCATTCGACAGAAGCCTCCATCTTGCACTCCTTTGAAGGAAAACACTTGAAGAACATGTAAAGGTGGTGGATGTACCGTCTGACACAAACAAGGCCAACAGGCAGAGAACTCTGTCATGCTGACGTGTCCGAGTGCTTCACTTAACTCTAAACTGCCGGCAAACTTTTATTTTGTCTTGGGGAGATAATCGGCACTCTGTCCGCGGCAGAGGTTCCCGCTCATCCATCATCCCAATGCTGTGTTCCTGACTAACAGGACAAAACTGACTGCGGACTAACAATCTTTCACTCCAGCCTACATACGACTGGACTGAGGTGAAAGCATCGGCCTTTTGCTGAATTACCTTCCCTTTAATCAATGACACCACGTCGGAGAAAATATCTCCAGGAAAGTGGCGGGGGGAATCTGTATCCATCATGCACGTCTGCCATGTTGCTAATAGATGACCTAAATGCATCACTGTGTCAAGAATCATCTGACATTCATCAAGATGTAGAAGGGATATAAATAAAAGGACAAATGAGAGCAACACTATAAACATGAGTTATCATCTCATCTGAAGCAGAGCAGAGAGACGAATAGATTTGAATATATCTTTTTAAAGAAAACTAAAACACACATGCTTTTTACCCTAAAGACAAAGAGTGCATAAATCACCTACATTCAGGTTATTTGACAGAAACAAATCTCACATTGATTGTGAGGATTGACTGAGGAAAAACGCTGTGTTCACTTGTTCATAAAATTACTGATGAGGATGCCAACGTTTTCCCAAAGATAAGATAACTTATAACTGAATTTATGAGGCAATATACCTTCTTTTTTTTTGTATGTGGCCCTCGGTGAAAAAAGTAAATTTGAATGGTAGGTTTATTTTAACAGTGAGAGTAAGAATATCAAAAAGAAAATCCAGAAATGTGCATTATATAAAAGATAAACATTGATTTGCATTTAGCTGTAGATAATAAGTATTTGATTCCCAGTGTTGAAGTGATTGTGCTTATCGCAAACGTTTCATTGTAATTCAGGGATCAACATGCTGTGTCTTCAACCGTGTCGGTACATTTCAAATTAGAGGGCAGAGGCTGTACCTGAGCGTCCATTAGCAGGTGTCTCATCAGAGTCATGGACTTCCTCAAGGTGTCCCTCTCTCCCGGCATGAAGGACTCGTCCTCATGAGCCAGGCTGTAGGGTCTGGTCACCATGAACTGAGCAATCTGGTCGTTCAGGCTGTTGAGAGACTGCACCGCTGCAATGGAGGAGAAGGACAGTTGTAAAACCACAAATGCTAAGACACAGGAACACAGTATTAATGGCAGTCAATTTTTTCCTCTAATGCCATGTGGGCCGAGGAGCTCCAAAGCTTGCTTCATCTCTCTCTAGCGGGACTTCCTTCATCAGCGGCCTCAGTGGAGCAGCAGCCTTCATTGTTCTCCTCTTTAGAATAATCCCTCTTTTGGACATTGGGCATCATTAGCCTCAATCCATTACCAAGACACAGTAACTCGGAATAATTCATCATATAATCCTTTTGGTATGGAGAGAGTCTCAGTGCTAAGGTCTATTGTGTTGGGTTTGTTCAGAGGCTACAGCGACACAATGAGGAGCTCAGAAGTCTCTTTGGTCACAGCCTGTTGGTGATCAAGTACAAAAAAATTAAAACAAGCCATCGTGGGGGACATTTTGTAAGAGACGTATTAACAAATAGAGTAACGAACATACATAAGAGAGTCACTGCCAATGCTGCAGCTGTCAGTTATTTAGATGCACAATTATTTATTGGATTTTCTTTTCAATTAAAAACAAGCAGCTTTCTGATACAGTTATATTAACTCAACACATAGCTCAACAGAGACGTTTATAATAAATATTTTAGATTCACAATTGATTGGTGATTTATTGATTGAAAAAAGCCTCCATTTATGCATTGCTAACTTCCTGAGAGCATGATCACTACTGCAGAAGTAGCTTGCTTAAGGTTGCTTAGGTGTGACGAGAAGTAGTTACATGCAGGTAGATTATATATATTGCTTCAGTTGTTGATGGTATAAATCAGGAAATGAAAGCATCAAATCCTCTTTATTGTGAAACAAAAATTGGCAAATATTTGGCAGGTTTGTGTTCTCAGTATTATTGTTGTTTTAGTAGACCGAAAGTACCAACATAAGTCACCACAGGTAGAGCGTGTTTGCAAGAGGACACTTGCTTCAAGTCAAGCATCACTCTGTTTCTCTCTCACAAACAGACACTAAGAGGCTAAGAGGTCAATTTGAGGCGAGAGTGACGGAGAGACCGAGGCAATGTGACTCACTGACATCATTCAAGGTCGGCTTTTCAACAGAATGATCAAAGATTCATGGCAACACCTTTCAGCGCCTCTCTTGAACTGCAGCAGCATGCAGACAGAGGCATGTTTACGAGCAGACTGAGCCCCGCAGGCAGCGCGGCATACATCAAATCAAGGCAGGGTGTGTCGAGGGGGGGAAATAAAATGTTTACAACGGAAGGACGCCGATTGGATTGTAATTTCGCATTCAACATTTACAAGGTGTACCTCTCTGCTCCCAAAGATGGCCAAACACAGGTAATGGCACATTGCAGCTGCTGGAAATGACATGCTGTCAAACTGTGAGAACAGACACACCTCCTCTCATCTCTGCTCCACTTTCAATTTGTACTGAATGCATTCTGTCACACACTGTGATACATCATGGAGATCGTGAGTGGGTTTCTATGATAACAAAGATACTTTGACTGCCCTGAATGTGTCAACATACAGTACACCACAATCAAAATTCAACAGCTTCATCTCCAAAGAAATAAAGCACCAAAAAGACCACTTGATGCTTAGTTTGTTGAACCCTTTACAAAAACAGATTGCTTCTCACTCGTGACATTACAACCAATACTCAATCTCCAGGCTGCTGACATGACTGATAAGGGTTGGACAGCGTTTAAGCCATGAAAATACATCTGCACATACTTAACACTACCATTTTCACGTTTATTAATATTCTTCTGGTAGAGCAAACCAGATGAGGCGCCAGCGTTGAGATAATTCTCTGCTGAGAATATGTAATTGAGGAAACATCAAACTATGCTTTCACATTGCTGATCACATACACAGTGTATAGTATTCAAAATGGCCGGTCGAAGCTGACCTTATGTGAACTGAGAGATAACTATTCCCTTTAACACTCTGGAGTCCAGGTTCATTTTGGTTGATTGATGGCAATCTTCCACGCATTCATTCTCTACAGGACATATATATGCAGCAATGTTATACTGTATGTTGTATGATTGTCTAAAATGTCTCTCATTGATTTCCCACAATGTTTCATGATTTTAATTATTTCTTAAACCTTTTCTGATGTATAAAAATACTTCATCATCAGATTTCTTCTTTATCTTTTATGTAAAATGTACAATACTTTAAATCAGAGGGATATTGTGTTTTTGTGAAGCGGCCTCCCACACACAGGTGGCCCAGTGCTGCTGGTGACTGTGAGATGTGGACCGCTCATTACAATCTTCACCCACAGGAACAAAACAACATCAACAATGAACTCTAATGAGGCATGTTGGGGTTTTGTCAGACTCCGCAGTACTTGTGAAAGGAGAATATAATGTGCATATAAAAAAAGAAAAATCAGCTCACTCTAAATGCAATCTCTCCTTGGGGAAAAATATCAGTTCCAGTTTCTGTATATGATTGTTTTTAATTTGCGAAATCGTTCAAAATATGAACAAGGGAGGGCTTATGTTTATATTCAGATGCAGTGGAATAAAATAAAATATATTCAAATGAGCTCAGTCAGCTGTCCCACCAGGAAGTGTGATGAGAGAACATATTAAAAAGACTCTTTTGCTTATGCCACGCTTTGGGGACCGACTGTTACAGCCGAAGAGTCACAGCAGCCAGAAATCTTCTGCCAAAGCAATTTCAGGAAGCTCCAAGAACTTCACACTTTGGGCCCGAAAGACCCAGAGTGGGATAAAAGGGTGAGGAAATCTGTGAGAATCTGAGGCAATCCCAAAAGAAAGACAGTGAGGCTACATTTCAATTACAATGATGGCAGATAAATACACAACACAATCTTGTTGAGGGACAAAAGTCTGCAGTGAACCTAGACCAGGGCTGTAACTCCACAGGGAACGTTTCTTTTGAGGCTTTTAAAAACATGCCGCTGTAAACAAAGTTTGTTCAAATGCTGAGATTTGGACGGATCAATTATAGCTTAGCAACGTTTGCTTTGCATAAAAATAAGTGAATCTCTCTGCGTGTCTGACAGCATCAACATAGGCCTGTAATTTTGCTGTTTGCCTCATTGTTCCACTCCACTATCTGCAGCAGGGCCCAACACCCGCTGATGCTTTTCACTATGCAATTCCCCAGATAAATTGGACACTTTTCCCCAAAGCAATACCACTCTATCCTGTACATTACAAGCATGTTACAGCATGTTCCACAAACCTTTTTCTATCTTTATGTCCGGCATACTACACATTTCACTCCAATGTCACGCTTCCACACTTCCTCAAAATACATTTAATCTTATCCCTCTGGCTGGTGTCGACTCATTTCCGATGCAAAGCAGATGGAAGCGCGTGTGTGCGAAGAGCTTTGTCTACCTTTATTGGCAAAACTGGGAATATGTGAACATGGGAGTGCATAATTGTGACAGTGGCTTTAAAGAGATTGACCCCCCGTGAAAAAACACGGCTCTGGGTTTGTTTGTGTCGTCGTGTTCCCCCAGACTGAGAATTTGAGAAATCACAGAATCTGCCCAAAACAATCAGACAGGCAGCATCTGAGGCAGACTGCCAGTCGTCTATCCTCGGTCCCCTGCGAGTGAGAGGATCTCTCGAGGAACCATTTCTCATTTCCACAGTCAACACAACGCAATAGGCATGTTTCGGCTTGTTGAGATGCTCAACTGCATCTGGTCGGATAAGTTCTTCATCCAGACACTTCCAATCCCAACTCAATCCAGGCAGTTCCTGGGAGTAATACCTCACACGCCTATTGTGAATATTTTGAAGCCGGTTGTAGTGCATGTAAGCAAGCGGCATACAGATGTAAGTACAATAGGCTTTTGGTTGCATTTGTGTTGCCAATAGTACAGCTGCTAAGTCAATAAGCTAAAAGCTGTTTTGAGGCTGTAGGGAAGAAATGTGCACATAATGTTAGGTAACATGTGTCACGCCCTGGCTCAAGGACGGACAAAAGAAGGAGACCACACATGATTCATCCAATTGAAGTGCATTTATTTAAAGAAACTAAGTTAACTATGAAGTCAGATAATCAGTAATGTATGTAGTGTGTGGGTGTGTGAACATGCATCAGTATATAAAGCAAAAACAAACACACCAAGGTCCAGTAGAGCCAAGCAACCCAAGAGGAGAGAGAGACTGACTCTCTGCTCAGGCACCCATACTTGTAGCTGAGCAGTCAAAATAAATCAGGTGTCAGCAATCTCTCCTGATTTGGGGGGTGGCTAACCAGGGACCTGAGGCTAAGGCCTAGGGGCCGTCACACATGCTAATATCAGTGATAATATGCACATGTCTTGCAGCTGTAATGTTTAAGATCGGTGTGTTCAAAATTAGTGTTTCCAGATAAATTATCAAGTGTGTCCCAATAAATAGTAAATATATAGTCAAATGCAGTATGCAACCTTTTGCGACTATTCTGACCCACAACCTCCTCCACGGCAAATGTATGAGCAGAGCAAGAGGGTCAAAGTTCAAGGTGCAATGTTATGACAAAGTAGTATGTCTCAATTGATTGCACACTGCATGCGACAGTAGATTTACATTCTTTCTAAGGGCAGCTGCATTATGAAAAGATGTCTAAGATTTGGAACACAGCACATCAATGTCCATACCAAATTTCATCCTAATCTATCCAATAGCTGTTGTGATATTGCCAATTAAACCATAAATGATATCCCATACTGGCACAAGAAGAACATATAAAAGATCTCTACAGTCATTAGGATTCATCCCAAGGGGACCAACAATGTTTGTACACATCTTACATACATGATTCCTTATCAGAAGTTACCTCTATTCATGTATACTATGTGTTGTAAAGAGATATAAGCCGTGTTTCTGTGAATATGACACCCACATCCAGATGTTGTTTAGGAAAATAGCCAGTACAAAAGCAGTACCTTATCTTATCTGCAAATAAAATAATGCTTGAAAAACATTTTTATTGTATCGTTTTTCAATAACCGGTGTCAA